GAAGTCATTTCCAAGGTTCACTGTTCAGCTGGGGAGTGGACAGCCCCATAAAACCAAATGGGACTAATGAGGCACAGCAGTCCAGGGACAAGGTCCAGAAGGCAGAAGGGGACAGGAAAGCTGGTGATAGGGAACCCTAGGTTAAGTAAGGATAGTGTTGATGTATTGTGAGGTTGTTAACCATTGTCATAGGGCAACATGTGTACTAACTGTTAAATGAGAAACTATTTTGTTCTGTAAGCCTTCATCTAAAGTGAGAATAGTATCAAAATTGGGAGAGCGTAGTCAATGTCTCTGAACTGTGCATGTAGAAATTTTCGAAATGGTGTACCTTTGGCTATGTATATTTTCACCAAAAAAAAAGTTGAGACGGGAGAGGGTTGACATGTTGTGGGGTTGTTAACCAGTGTCATAAAACAATGTGTGTACTACTGTTGCATGAGAAACTATTTGTTCTGTAAGCCTTCACCTGAAGTACAATTAAAAAAAAAAAACACTGCTCAAAGAATGTCAGGTCTAAGCGATCAAATTAGTTTTTTATTCATTATGGAGGGATCACTGAGTAGAGGAAGAGGAGAGAGGGTTAAAAGCAGGCTCCCCTTCAGTCGGTACCTTGTTCTACTGAGATGGTTTTGATGAAGACCTTGCCTAGAAGACCCAGACAGGAAGGTGCTCTCACCTTGTGTCTTAGTCATCTAGTGCTGCTGTAACAGAAATACCACAAGTTAGGTGTCTTTAACAAAGAGAAATTTATTTTCTCAGTCTAGTAAGCTACTAGTCCAAATTTGGAAATCTCTCTCTCTTTGTCGGCTCTGCAGGAAGGTCGTTGTCAACAATCTTCCCTTGGTCTGGGAGCTACTCAGCACAGGAACTTCCAGTCCAAACCTCTGCTTCTGGTGCTGCTTTCCTCTTTCCTGGTGGTATGAGGTCCCTCTGTCTCTCTGCTCACTTGTCTCTTATATCTCAGAAGAGATTGGCTCAAGACATAATCCAGTCTTGTAGATTGAGTCGTGCCTCATTAACATAACTGCCTCCTCTCTCACCTCATTAACATCATAGAGGTAGGATTTACAACATATGGGAAAAAAACATCAGATGACAAAATGGTGGACTATCTCACAATACTGGGAATTGTGGCCTAGCCAAGTTGATACACATTTTTGGGGACACAATTCTGTCCATGACACCTTGTTTAGAAGTAGTCTGAGAAAGCCTGTCCAAGTGTGGTGTTCCTCAATAGACTTTGTTCAGAGACTGAACTGAAGGCAAGCCCTTCTGTGCTAGACTTGAACAAAACACTTCTGCCTACCCTACCCTATCCCAGTGCCCTTATTTGAAAGAATCCAGCCTGTGCAGTGGTGTCCTCTTGTGAATGACTTATTTGTTGGGTTTTTCTAAACCTCGTTTTCCTGAATCCTACCTTACATTGCGGTGGCATGATTAAGGAACTGAGTAAATGGTACCCTAGAGGATTGGCTTTGGTAGGTCTGCATGCATTGGAGTGATGGGCAAGAGCGTGCTTCTGAGCTTGATGTTGTACTGTTGGCGATGAATCTTTAGGGTCCATTTTTTTCTGTGTATATGTGTGTAGAAATGATTGTCATGGAGATTTATTACTGATTTGTACATGAGGACAGCTTGTATCACACCTTTTTTAATTCTCCAGCTTAAATGTCAAAATGTACTTAGAGAAATCAATGAGAAATTTTCAGCTCCCCAGTGTAAGAAATAAGGACATAGATATTTCTTCTGCATCACCAACTATTAAATTACCCCTACACAGAACAGTTTATTACTGAACCTCTTGTTTTAGAGCCAAATAAGTACATATAACTAGTATATACACAATTTTGGGAGAGTGCTGATGGCTCCTTAGGACACTCCATGTAAGCTTTAATTTCTGAACATTTGTTTAGGTATAGAAGTGGAAGACATTTCTTGTTCCATGTATCCTACATTCCTGCATGTTCAGAAGGCCAGTTAGCTTGACCACAGTTCTTATGCCTCAATGACCATGTGTCCATATCATAGGCAAGAACATGCATATGTGGGTAGAAATCAGCAGCACTCTCATATGTTGCCAGGTGGAGGAGTTAAGAGCAGAGTTTCTTGGATTCTCACTTCTTCCCTGTGTTGTTATGTAGTCTGTTTTGCACCTTGTCGTCAATCCTTGCTTTAGAGTTTATTTCCATTCAGCATGGGAGCAGAAATCTTCCTTTAGTGTCATTTAGATTGGATCTTCTCACAGCCTTTCTAATAACCTTCATTGGCTTTAGAATCACTTTTTAAACCTTCCACCAAAAGACCTAATGTTTAAAAGAAAAAAATGCTTCCCAGAAACATTGTTTTCCTCCATTTAATCAGGGAACATGTTTAAATGCAGAAGTTGTTAGAGAATGGTAAGTAATTATGGCTGTTCCTGGAATTCATTGTGTTTCTTCATAATTACATGTTGTAGTCTTTGGTTCTGCTTCTTTGAGAGCTTGGTCAAACTTTGAATGGTTATCTTGAATTTAATGGAATTCAGTCCTAGCAGAAAACTGCTATTGGGTCACAGATTTGGCAGCAAGGCTGTGATGCTAATGTAGGAATGGGGATGTTGATATACCCTTTGTATTTTAAAGATATTTTATACCCTTTGTACTGACAGAAAGAGTCAGTTTTGGGGATGTGCCATGTGGGCTTTTCCCAAGAACATACAAACTTTTCAGAATGAAAGCTGGAGGCTTTATTAACAGACAGGAGCCAGTGTGCTTGACAGTTAAATAGAACATTGTGAGTTCTCATTGGATTAAATGCCCCAAGCCTTCTCTTCACTACTACTCTTTTCCTACCATGCTTAAGCTCAGGTTCCTTTGCTTTTGTTCAAAGCTTTGAACTTTGATATTCAAAGTCTGTTTTACTTCGCCATGCCTTAAGCAATCCACCTTCGGGGTTGGGCCTTTGGTCTTTGCAGGGTGAGAAAGACTGGCAGAAATACGAGACCGCTCGGCGGCTGAAGAAATGTGTAGACAAGATCCGGAACCAATATCGAGAAGACTGGAAGTCCAAAGAGATGAAAGTGCGGCAGAGAGCCGTAGCCCTGTACTTCATTGACAAGGTGAGAATGCCTTTCTTTTGGCGTCAGCTAATGTGTTGAGCTCAGCAAAGATGTAGGGAGCATCCACTCCAGACCTTCTACTAAGTACTGTAGAGGCAGTGACAGGCCACTGAGCCTCTGGTCTAGTAAGAAAGAAGTGGAGAGAGCCATTCACAGTGTGTCTGCTGCTATCCTGAATGCCATCTGCCTACTAGGAGGATCTGCATGAATCTGCATGTGTCAGAAATACTGTTACATTTTCTAAAGCAGTAGCTTTCAAACTGTTTTTGACTGACCCACAGTAAAAAATTTATTTTACGTCACAAACTAATAACCTACTCCATCGCCATCGAGTCGATTCCGACTCACAGCAACCCTATAGACGTGTAAATAATATTTGTGTGTGTGTGTAAATAAGAAAAAAGAATGATTAGAACTCGTAAAATTAATCTGGTAATGGATCACAACTACAGTTTGAAAAACAGTGCTCTAGAGGAAATCAGTTTCTTAGTACTCTTTAGAAGAAAAATATTTTGTTTTTTCCTAATTTTGCACTGCTTATGTTTTAGCACAGATTCTGAATTGTCTCAAAATTAAACAAAATTGAGACTAGATTTTTTGAGTATGATTACCTAGAATAGAAACACTTCTTCATTTACTGCCTTGTTTTTTTTTGCTTGTTTGTTTGCTTGGTTTTTTAGTATCTCTCTTTCCCCCATCCTCCTTTGAGAGAACAAAGTAGAGAGAAGGAGGCTTGGGTATGGCATGTCTCTCGACACCTCAGCCCATAAGGAAGGAGGTGACACTGCAGAATCTAGAGTTTCCAGGCCTTGTAGACTGATGCATTGTCCCCAAAGAGAAATGGGAGGCTTCTGTTTTGGGTTTCCTAGAGATCTTCTGAGATTCCAGTCTCTTCATTCACCTTTTTTTTCCCTTCTTCTCCCTGGCAGCTTGCACTGAGAGCAGGCAATGAGAAGGAGGAAGGAGAAACAGCAGACACTGTGGGTTGCTGCTCACTTCGCGTGGAGCACATCAGTCTACATCCAGAGTTGGATGGTCAGGAATATGTGGTAGAGTTTGACTTCCTTGGGAAGGACTCCATCAGATACTATAACAAAGTCCCCGTTGAAAAACGAGTAAGTTAATGTGGCCTGTGGTCCCTGGCCTGTTTTTTCATTCATTCATTCATTCATTCAACAAGCATTTATTGTTTTGTGTGTGTGTGTGTGTTCTGCACGGTGCTAGGCACTAGAAAAAATGACTTTGAAGGAGAAGGGAGAGCTACTGCTTGGTGTCCGTATACTTTCTTTTAGTCCTTGGCCTCCTCTGCTACCTTTCTAGGAGTGAGGGACCGTCTCCTGTAGCACTGTTCAACAGAGCATGCTGTATAGAGCTGACCTTCACAGCACACTCAGTGTCAGAGTTAACGCAGGGTACTGTTTTAATAATTTAACCACATCTCAGTATCTCCTGGTCATACTGCACATTTGTCACTTCTGCAGCTTTGCACAACCTCTTCCCAGCTCCTGACTGAGTAAAGATGTAGCTCTTTCGTACCCAAGTCTCTGACCCCGTAGCTGCAGCCCCACGATCCCCCAGTTTAATCTTCCCCAAAGTACTGGGCTTGACTCAGACCTACACAGTGCAGTATCCCCATAACCCAGCTCCTCCTCAGTCTGATGTTCAGTCAGTAACTAGGCTTTGCTGGCTGTGGAAATGCTTCAGATTAAAGGTTGCTAAAGAGACTTTAACAATTATTAAATGTAATACCTGACCCTAGATTGGATCCTATACTGAAGGTAAAGGATATCATTAGATCAACTGACAAAATTGAAATATGGGTGGTAAATTAAAATACATATTAATGTGAATTTATGAATCTAAGTACTGTGGTTATGTAAAGGAAGTTCTTAAGAAATAGCACAATGAAATATTTAGGGGTAAAGAGCCATAGTATATGTAAGTTAGGCACAAATGGGTCAGAAAAAGTAATTATGACTGTACATACACGTCCAAATGTAGAGTAAGCAAGCACATGTGCTGTGCAGGTTATCAGTGGGATAAAATGTTAACAGTCAGTGAATTTGGGTACAGGATAAATGGATATTTTGGGGGGGCAAGGTTTTATAAGTTTGAAATTATTCCAAACAAAAGATTTTAAACAAATAATAATTAGACTTTGTTTATTTCTTTTAGGTTTTTAAGAACCTGCAGCTATTTATGGAGAACAAGCAGCCTGAGGATGATCTTTTTGATAGACTCAATGTGAGTAAAGTACCCTTCTGGCTGGGAAGGGGGTGCCAGCTGGAACCTTACAAGCTCCCAAAGAAGAAGGTTGCCTGGGGGTGACTTGAGCTCTCCCTTAAGCCTAGCCTTGCATCGTGGCATCCTGTACATTCTTCCTCCCTTGAGGCATAAACAGCAAATCCACGGCCAGGATTCGCTCAGAAGGAACGTCAAAGCCCCAAGGCAGGGGTAGACAAACCCTGCCTTTTATCCTCTTCTGGCTCCTGCAGAGCCTTCCCTTGGCTCGATGCCCAGTCACCTTTGCTGGAGACCCAAGACCTGTCCCTGATGTCTTATCAGGGAAAATCTTACCAGGGAAGGACGCATTTACTTTATTGCTTGCTTAAGATTTAGTACTTCATAGGGAGGTATCATTCACCCTTGTATTCTGGAATTTTTTACCCTGCCAGTAGGAAATTAGGTAAGATTGTGACTACACTGGCATAAATGACTCCTAGAGCTTGCCAGAAAGGGCAGGGATGGTGTGGCTTTTATCCAAATCCCAGTAACCTCTCTGCTGCTTTGTCTTCTCCAGACTGGTATTCTAAATAAGCATCTTCAGGATCTCATGGAGGGCTTGACAGCCAAGGTATTCCGTACATACAATGCCTCCATCACGCTACAGCAGCAGCTAAAAGAACTCACAGCCCGTAAGTACTGCTTGGCCAGACAGGGCCCACACCCCTACTAACAGGATCTGGTGTCCTTGCTTAGCTAAGTCCTAAATCAGTTTCACTTTTTCTCCTTAATCCTAATACCTTTACCCTCTAGACCTCTAGTAGAGAGGTAAGGTTTAGTTGTATAAACATAAGATCGGTGCTGTCTCCCCCACTCCCACCGTGGCTTCTAGATTGATTTTATGGAATGCTGACAGGGGCTTTCCATCTGCTCTGAAAATGCTTGCATTTTGTGTTTTGTATGTCCGTTAGTGTGACGCTCACAGGGTGAAGACATAGTACTATGATGTTCTGTTAAACTGGAGAGAGTAAGGTTGTCATGATTACTTAGAAATATATAGGAGCAAGTCCTTTCTCTGGGGTCTCTGTCATTTTTTTTTTTTTTTTCTTTTTTCTTTTCCTCCCATGAGTCGGTAATACTCTTCTAAGGACTACCTTACAGAAGGTATCACTAAGATCCACAGACTTCTTTCCTGGAGCTCAAAACCAAAAAACCAAACCTGTTGCATCGAGTCGATTCCAACTCTTAGAGACCCTATAGGAGAGAGTGGAAGTGTCCCATAGGGTTTCCGTGGAGTGGCTTGTGGATTCAAACTGCTGACCTTTTCATTAGCAGCCCAGCTCTTAATCACCGTGCCTCCAGGGCTCCTGGACCTCAGTCACTGCTAAATTCTACCATTCTCTATAAATAGATCCAGTGGCCTTAGAGTATGAGCCAGAAAAGCCAGAGATGGGTATGTTGAGGGTCAGTATTTTGGGTGGAATAAACAGTGCCATACAACATAAGTAAAAAATTTCTTAGATGACATTTGAATTTGTTCTTTCAAAAAATATACTGTCTTGTGATTCAAAAATATGGTCCATTGGTCTTGTACTTCTCTACAGACTTTCTGTCCCAATTCCATATTTTCTTCAGCGTTCATTGGCTGGATAGGTGGGGAGGGAGGAGATGAGGCAAGCAGATGAACAGTCTGACCAAACTCTCTGGATGAGCAAGGTTTAGATTTAGCTGTACTACTACTTAGACCCAGAATTCCTCTTGTAATGAAAATTTACCCAGGCTAAACTTACGTATAAAATTTCTGCTGTCATTTTCTTATAATTCTGTTGACTCTCAGATTTTGACCTTGTGCCTCAGAGGACATTTGAATTGATCATGTGGGTGAGATCAGGGCCATTAAAATCATGAAGATGAAGCTCTAAGGGAAGAGAAGTTGTGTGTGCTCTCTTGGTATACAGATTGACCCTCTTACTATCACGTTTCTTTACAGCGGATGAGAACATCCCCGCAAAGATCCTTTCTTATAACCGTGCCAATCGAGCTGTTGCAATTCTTTGTAACCATCAGAGGGCACCACCAAAAACTTTTGAGAAGTCTATGATGAACTTGCAGTCTAAGGTATCTTGTATGTGGGTGGTGGGGTAGCAGATGTCTGCTGTGGGCAGCTCGTCTGAAAATGAGGGCATTTATAACCCAGATCTCTCGGTTGGGAGGTTAGGGGGCCATTTCTGGGTCTGTTTCAGAAGAAAGGTCCATGCTAAAGATTAACAAAGAAATGTGATCGTAGCTATTCCTGATCAAGATAGTGAATATCAGGGTGCCCATTGTTCAGAAAGTATTTCTTCTACGAACAGAAATGTTCTACATTGGCCACTTCCTGTTTTGAATAGCTAAATCTGACATACCTTCTTTGAAAGATTGCTAATTATTATCCTTATATTTATACACGAAGAAATGGATATAGAGTCTTCTTTACAATTCCTTGTCACAGCCCCAAAATACAACTGTTCCAAATTAGATTGTTTCAAATTGAAAAGATAATGAAATACTATTTAAAGAATTTTTTGAAAGATAATGTCCCCCATTATCCTAGCACAACTATTTTTATTTTTACACATTCCATATGAATTGTATGGTTATGTAGTTGATGATCAGACATCTGTTGAATACTGGCTATGTGCCAGAGTCGCTGCCCTAGAGGCACTTAAAGCCTAGAGGAAGAGACTGACACACAAACTAGTAGATGCTGTTCCTCTTCTGTGTGCCTCTCTACTCCCTGCTACTCAGCCTGGTACTGAGCTTTTAAGCCACAAAGCACTTAACATTTGATGATAAGCATTTCTGTGTTAGTAATGGCTAAGTATCAGCACCTGTCTTCTCAGTTTGTCATATTGCTGTGATGCTGGAAGCTATGCCACCAGTATTTCAAATATCAGTAGGGTCACCCATGGTGAACAGGTTTCAGCACAGCTTCCAGACTAAGACAGCCTAGGAAAAAAGGCCTGGTGATCTACTTCCAAAATTAGCCAAGGAAAGCCTTATAGATCACAACGGAACATTGCATGATACAGTGCTGGAAGATGAGCCCCCTGGGTTGGAAGACACTACACAATAGCCACAACAGTGGACTCAAACATACCAACGATGATGATGGTGCAGGACCGGGCAGCGGTTCATTCTGTTGTGTGTAAGGTCAGGTCCAACTTGATGGCAACTAACAATAACAGTGACTGCATAACTAATGTATCCTAATTTATCCAGAATGAGAATTCCCAGATATTTCACTATAGAGCAGATACATGGGATGACAAACGAAATCAATGATGATGAAATACATTTATCAAGACACATTTCAAAGTCTGTGGTATAGTAATAGATGTGATTCTTTCTTAACTTCATAAATCAGATTTTGAGGTAGGTCTAATAACGACTGTAAATTTCAAGGCAGTAATGAATATAAATGATACTTCAAGTTTTTCTGTAACAACTGTAATATGACATGAAAATATCTGTGATTTCTTTTGATAATAGTACTACTGATTACTATGGTTTGTTACTAACATTCATAATTAAAGAAGAAATGCTAAATTTTAATTAGAGGTTAGTGAAATTACAAATGTGATTGTTTTTCATCCAAGCCCCCAGAATGTTATACTTGGACAGCTGGAGTTTAAAAACTTCTGTAGAATGAGACATAAATTTTCAGGCCCCGAATATTTTTCTTCTGTTGAGATTTCCTCAAGATAAATACCCAGGAGTAGGACGTCTGGGTCAAAAGACGTATGCAACCTATGGTTCATGCTGTAGATGCCACTAGCTTTCTTGAAGTGATGTCCGCGCTCACAGTGAATACCTCCTTAGACCTCTTGAATCCTTGGACTGTGGTTGGCAGGCAAAGAACCTTCCAGATCGTGCATTCTAGCAGCTCTACTTGCTGCATTCTGCTAAAATGGTGGTCATCTGGTTTTGTTTACTGTCTTCCTGTTGTCATTCCAAGCCAGAAATAAACTCATGAATATTCAGGTGGTGTTTACCTAATTCTGGAGACCCTTCCCTAAAGCATGAGGAGGTCTTCTGTTGGTCTCACTCTGGAACCACTGTTTGGGCAGCCCAGGCTGCCTGCCAGACGAGCCCTCCAAACCTTGGAACCCTCCCCCTGTGTGCCCACAAAGCAAACATACGCCCCTGTTTGCCAAGTGAATCAATGGAGTCTTTGATGCTTTGAGAGAATTTGAATAGCATTGCCAATTAAGCATTCACAGAAATGGTTAAAAGATTACGGTTTGCTGCATTTCTAGCCTGAAAAAGAATCTGGCTTGGGGTGTCTGATGCTTTTATGTATAGAATCAGTTCCCTCAGCTTGGCTTTGGACAACATAGATATTGGAAGTAAGCCATTCGTATTAAAATGTATTTAATGATTTTTTCACAATGGTGCCCTCTGTTTCCAGTCTCTGGCTGTATGAGTATATATAACAGATGATTCTAGGCTCAGTGAACAATTAGCCCAAAGTGTGTGAGTCAGGCGCATATTTACTCTGCAGAGGTTCCCTTGACCTCACTGGTCAGCAGGTGATACCACGTATGGGGTACTCCTACCCCCAGCAGAGTGAGCTCACAAGCTTGGATTCCAGCTCCGTGGGTACCCACTGCTGTCTCTAAACAGGATTGTCAAGTTCTTCAGAGGTGCTTCAGGGGTTCTAACAAGCAACAAAGGGCAAAACTTCCATTGTTTCTTCCTTTAGAGATGGGGATGCCACAAGATTTCATTTGGAAAAAGATAATCTACAGCTGAAAATGTTCTCATACCTCTGTTCTTGAGTGATAACTACTGTAATGTACTTCCCACCTCAGCCCTCTCTCCTTTTTGAAACAGAATGACAAAGCTGGGGCATGCCATGTATTGGTTTGGAACAAACTGGTTAAACTGTTTGGATTCCTGGGTCCTTTTTAATTGCCATTTTCTAGTCTGTTGAATATTCTTGTCACTGCATCCTTTTTTTCTTGAAAAGCTGGCAACTCCTTTCCAGGATGCTGGCAGAATCTGGGCAGTGAGCTGGGCTTGCTCAGTAGATGGAAGGATCCTGTCTCAGGCTTCATAAAGAGTGTCTCCTACAGTATTCTTAGAATGAAGGCTAAAACCTGGCACAGGATCCATTTGATAAACAGCTCTTATCTATAGCCCTCCCCAGGTGTCGAAAGCCAAAGTATTCTCCGATTGAAAGATTAGGACCCAGATTCCCAGTCCCAGTAAGGTCTTTTCCGTAAGCCTCAAGGGGCTCCAGGTCACTGCCCTGTGGAACTCTCATTTTTTGAAGGCTCACTGAAAAACAGACAAATAGCAGTCAGTGTATACCTGATTTGCCTTCATGAAGCCACACCTTGTTGTTTTAGCCTGGCTGGTGGAGACAACTTCTTTACGTTTTGTCTTTTATGACGGAGGCTTTTTCTTTTCTCTCTTGGCTCATTTTGCTCCTAATTCTTACTGCTGTTCTTTCCTACACAGATTGATGCCAAAAAGGAACAGCTAGCAGATGCCCGGAGAGACCTGAAAAGCGCTAAGGCTGATGCCAAGGTCATGAAGGATGCGAAGACCAAGAAGTATGTACCTGGTATTGTGTGAAGCTGGGAGTTGGTCAAGAGAGAAAAGTGGGCAACACCAGTCAGAGGCCCTGAGGCCCCAGCTTTTCTAGGGTTTCTGAGCGATGTCTTCAAAAATCTGTCTAGGTGCTTTTATACCTTTGCTGCCCAGAATTGGCTGGTTAGGGTTGCAGTGTATTCTTGTGCAGAGGCCAGGCCTGATTCTTGATGACTTTTTGCCATTTTTCCAGGGTGGTGGAGTCAAAGAAAAAGGCTGTGCAGAGACTGGAGGAGCAGTTGATGAAGCTGGAAGTTCAGGCCACAGACCGAGAGGAGAATAAACAAATTGCCTTGGGAACCTCCAAACTCAATTATCTGGACCCTCGGATTTCAGTGGCTTGGTAAGCAATGAGCCCTACTTGAGCTCCTGCTGCTGGCTCAAGAAAGGTAGAGGGGCCTCTGAGATCATTGTCCGCCTTCACATGCCATTCCTAAGCGTCATACTTTTTAGTCCTCTGTGGGAATCTGGCTTCTGCTACGCTGTTGTTGCTGAACCTTGTCTACATGTGCATCAGAGCATCCTGGATGGTCCTATGCTGTGATCAGTACTGTTAGGTTACTTTTGAGTCTGTTTATGTTCTATTTGTAAAAGGTGGGCACCTTTTAGGACTTTGGGACAGGAATAGAAACTCTCAGCCCTTACTGAAGGGAACAAATATATATGTATATATATATATGCATATATATATATATTCTTTTAAATAATACTTTGTTGTGTTTACACAGCAAATTAGGTTCCCCTTTAACAATTTTTATACAGGTTGTCTGTGCCATTGGTTACAGTTTTTACAACGTGTCAGCATTCTCATTGTTTCCATTCTGTTTGTTCTGTTTCCATTGATCTAACTTCCTTTCCCCTCCATGCCTTCTCTTTTTTGCTTTTGGGTAACAGTTGACTGTTTGGTCTCTGGAACAAATATTTTTAAAATTTAACATTAACAAAACTTTTTACTAAAGTTTTTGCAAGTGAAAGAAGAAAGGTAGGAACAAGAGAAAAAGAAAATACAGATTTGACTGACCTACACAAAGAGACAGGAATCTTTTTAAACAAAGGCAGATAATTTCTCTCTCTGTTGCTTGCCTGCTCACTCGCTCTCTTACACACACGCAGAGTCATGTAATAACATCCAGAATAAGTGGCTTTCTGGAAGATATTTAGTCAACTTGAGTTGTTAAATTCTTTGCATAGATGGAGGCATCATCTCTTATGGTACCTGCTCCTCTGGGCCAGAGGGTCCACCCAGTTCTTGTACCCCATCTATTTTCCCATGTGTGGTGATAGAGGTTTGGTTAGCTCTTGAGAGGCAGCAGTACAGTACGGTGGTGTTAAGAGTATGGACTCTGGAGCCAGACTGCTTGGGTTTCAATTTCAGCTCCATCACCTACTAGCTGCGTAAGACTGTTAGTTAATTACTTATCCTCTTTGCCTTCGTTTTCTCATCTGTACAATGAGCATAATAGTAGTACCCACCTCAGAAGGTCATTGTCAGGATTAAATGAATTAATCATATAAAGCCTTTACAACACGTCTGGTGTGCGGTTAATTCGCTCTTGGGCTCCCTCACCAGACAGGTAAAGGAGAAGGCAGCCCACCCAAGTCTAGACCCCAGGTCTGGGCCATTCCTCTCTGAGTCACACTAATTGCCCTTCTTTCTCCCTTGCTTACAGGTGCAAGAAGTGGGGGGTCCCGATTGAGAAAATTTACAACAAAACCCAGCGGGAGAAGTTTGCCTGGGCCATCGACATGGCCGATGAGAACTACGAATTTTAGCCAGTCTCAAGGGGCAGGGTTCTCTGATAAGGAACAGTATGGTTTGGGGAAGATGGATAAACTGTGAGCCTCGCTTGCCGTCGCACATGAGGGAGAGAGGCAGCAAGTCTTAACAAACCAACATCTTTGCGAAAAGATAAACCTGGAGATATTATAAGGGAGAGCTGAGCCAGTTGTCCTATGGACAACTTATTTAAAAATATTTCAGATATCAAAATTCTAGCTGTATGATTTGTTTTGAATTTTGTTTTTATTTTCAAGAGGGCAAGTGAATGGGAATTTGTCAGAGTTCTGCCAGGCAAATTCACTGTTTCACTGAAACGTTTGGATTCTCTTAGCTACTGTATACGAAGTCCGATTATATTGGTGCGTTTTTACAGTTAGGGTTTTGCAATAACTTCTATATTTTAATAGAAATGAATTCCTAAACTCCCTCCCCTCTCCCCATTTCAGGAATTTAAAATTAAGTAGAACAAAAACCCAGCGCACCTGTTAGAGTTGTCACTATCTATTGTCATGGGAACCAGTTTTCATTAAACTTGAAGCAGTCGTGATATCGGCAGTGTTTTGGTTCAGACACCTGTTCACAGAAAAGCATGATGGGAAAATATTTCCTGACTTGAGTGTTCCTTTTTAAATGTGAATTTTTATTTCTTTTTAATTATTTTAAAATATTTAAACCTTTTTCTTGATCTTAAAGATCGTGTAGATTGGGGCCGGGAGGGACGAGGGGTGAGTGAGTCTGAGGATAATGAAATAATCAGTGACTGAATCCATTTTCCCATCATCCTTTGTTCTGAGCATTCTCCGTACCCTTTAAAATATTCCTCTTTTTCTTTTTAAACCCCAATCTTTCACTTGAAAGGTTTTATTGTATAAAAAGTTCCACAGGTCAATAAATATAGAGGAAAATGAGTATTTGGTCCAAAAAAGGAAAAATAATCAAGATTTTAGGGCTTTTATTTTTTCTTTTGTAATTGTGTAAAAAAATGGGGGAAAAAACATAAAAAGCAGAATTTTAATGTGAAGACTTTTTTTGCTATAATCATTAGTTTTAGAGGCATTGTTAGTTTAGCGTGTGTGCAGAGTCCATTTCCCACATCTTTCCTCAAGTATCTTCTATTTTTATCATGAATTCCCTTTTAATCAACTGTAGGTTATTTAAAATAAATTCCTACAACTTAACGGAAATTTAGTGCCTGCCTCTTTGTTACCAAGGGCTCCAGGCCAGAGTAGGAACCCTGGGGCTGGGCTTGGGATGTGGTCTGACCACTCAGGTCTCAGAGGCAGGTCCCTCCCCTGAAGGCTGGGCCTGGCCTGGCAGGTGGTTTATCTGTCCTGCTGCTGTGGGTATGGCTTAAAAGGGGATCCAAAGTCCATATCCCTAGCTAGAGGCAGGCCAGGGAAGTAAGGGAGGATGCAGAAAATCCACCGGAACAGGTTGGGTACAAGAATTGTATTTGAAGCTGAGTATAGGTAATGTGTGCTGAACAAGATGAAGCAAGTGTATTTGAGAGGCGATTTTTTCCCCCATGTGTGCTATCCAGGGGCAGAATAAAGGTGCTTCTTTGGGTTTGCCTTTGTGGCTAAGCTTACAGTCAGGATGGGAGGAATTAAGGGCACCAAGCTAATTAGAACACCATCCCAGAAGCCGTCTCCCAGGTGGAATGTAGACTTCTCCTTGCACTGATTTGTTGAAAGAGGGAGGCAAGTGTCTGTGACTACTTGCCAGTGCTCCATGTACCTATGAAAATTGTTCTTCCTCAGACTATAGCAAAATCCAGAATTCAGAATAAAGGCTAGGGTCTCCAGGTTAAATGGAGCAAGGAGGCCAGAGTGGTCAGAATGGGTGGCTTAGTAGAAGGGCCCTAGGCCCTCTGGCTTGCTAGCATGAGCAGGTATGTTTAGGGATGAGAGCTATCTCCTTGCGTGGTCTCTTATCTCTCTGGGGCTTGGGTCTGGATGGACTGGTGTTGGGCCCACTGCAGAGAATCCTGGAGGTCCTTCTTGGCAGCAGTCATCTCAGGGAATAAAGGTGGTTGAGTAGTCATCATTGTTACGGAGCAAGAGGATTGTAACCGGGTGTTTTTTTAATTCTGTGATGTTGAGATAGCTGGACCATTGAATGTAAGGAATAGCAATGGAGAGGCTCTTCTGGTTCCAATCAGTGTACTTTATAACTGGTGGGTGGGTGGGTAGTGAGAAAGTGGACCTCAGATTTGGGACTTGAGCAGGACCTACCAAAACTAGGAGACAAACCTTCGTCTACAACTATAAATCAGGTACAGGAAACCTTGCAGGCAAAAGATCTTTCTCATGAGCAGGAGGTAGTACCTACCTTTCCTTGAAAGATCCTCCCTGCAAGTCTTCTGAGGGCAAGTGCAGTGCAACTTGATGCATCCTGGGCGGTGTGTGCAGGTCTGGAAGAGCAAAGCAGAAAATGGGAAGCTGATCTGGCCACTGGGGGTCAGGGAAGAGACTGGACAGGTAGTTGGGAGCCCAGTGCAAAGGGCCTTGAAAGATGCTTAAACCTGGAGTCACAGGAGTAAATTCACCCCTTGCCTGTTTATCCAGTAGGTCTGTTCCCTCCTACTTGCAGCCATGTTCTAAGAACAGAAACCCAGAGAGGAGAAGCAGAGGCCATGTGCAGGGTCTGAGAAACTCCCTCTCATCAGGCCCTTCTGTGGTGGCCAGGTCCAGCTGTGGGCAAAGGGAGACTAGGGGATCATCTGCAGGAAATGGGCTTCCACATGCTACCCAAGCCAGATGTCAGGGGCTTACTTGGCTTCCCTTTCTCCCTCAGCCCCCACATCTGGTCAGCAGGTCCTGTCTGTTCTTGCCAAAAGCTGTCAAATCTGTCTTAGACGTCTGCCATATAAAAAGTGAAACATTTTCAGCCACTACCCCTTTCTCTCCTTTTCACAAACAAGGACCTGGAATAAGTTATCTGCGCTCACCTACCTGGCTTCACCACCTGGTCATCCCACCAGCTTCTGTCCCATCTGCCCCCAGTTCCCTGACCCACTGACTAAGATCACCAGTGACCTCTGAGGGATCAAACCAATGCATAGGCTCTTCATTCTTCAAGCACTTTGTGACGAGGGACACTGCTGATAACTTCCTTTTTTTTTTTTTTTTTTAACAGCATTTATTGGGGTATATTTTACATATAAAATTCACCTATTTCAAGTGGACAGTGACGTTTGCTAAGTTTACTGAATGGTGCAGCCATCACCAAAATCAGCTTTAGAGCATTTTCATCCCCACCATCAGATCCCTCATGCCTATTTACAGTCAATCCCCATTCCCACCCCCAGCCTCTACTTTCTGTATAAATGCCTTTTCTGGAGAAAAAGAAACAAAAAAACCTGTTGCCGTAGGGTCGATTCTGACTCATAGTGCCCTACAGGACACAGTAGAACTGCTGCATAGGGTTTCTAAGGAGCAGCTGGTGAATTCGAACTTGGTTAGCAGCCGAGCTCTTAACCTCTGCACCACCAGGGCTCCATCCTTTCTGGACAGTTTCATATAAATGGAATCATATAGTATGACCATTCCCTTCTTAAACACCTCTCTCTGGCTTCCATGATGCCAGCCTGTCCTGGTTTTACCCCTAGGTCCCTATCAGGCTGTTCCTTGAATGTCCTTCTCAGTCTGTAGCTAATTTTATTTGAATTAAACCCAATGACTCCCATGTCTATCTCCAGCCTAGACCTCCTTCCAAAGCTCCACACCCACATTCCAACTACATCTCTGCAGGGAATGTCCACAGGGACCTCGATCTTAGCATTTTCAAAACTGAGCCTAGTGTCTGCTACACCAAGCCCCCTGGGCCTGGTTTCAGTCTCAGTGAAATGCGCTACCATCCACTCTGTCCCCCAAACTGGAGAAACTAGGGCAGCCTTCCTTCCATCTTTCATTTCCTCACTTCCACATAAAATAAATTACCAGCTCTTGAAATCACCTCCTAAATAACCACACATACTAAATACAGGTATCCCCTCTTGCTCAGAAAAAGGTTTTTTTACATTTTCTTACTAGAAAATATTCACCTTATACTCCAGTCCTTACAAAGCTCCTCATATAATGGGCAATCTCTCAACTTGTTTTGAACCAAAAAGTGTTTTTTTTTTTTTTTTTGGGAAAACATTACCCTAAAATGACCTCAGTCAGGCTAGTTGTGAATGCTTATAAGTAAATCCCCTGACACAATAAACAGGCAAAGAAATTTAACACAGACTTTGCAATTATTTCTCACAATCCTAACTATTACATATAAACAAGCTTTTTATTTATTTTTTTTTTTAATTTTACTTCAGGTGAAGGTTTACAGAACAAATAGTTTCTCATGAAACAATAGTACACGTATTGTTTTATGACACTGGTTAACAACCCCATGACATGTCAACCCTCTCCCTTCTTGACCTTTTTTTTTTTTTCTTTTTCTTTTTTGATGAAAATATACATAGCTAAAGATACACCATGTCAAAAATTTCTACATGCACAGTTTAGGGACATCAACTACGCTCTTCCAATTAAGCTGCTATTCTCACTTTATATGAAGGTTTACAGAACAAAATAGTTTCTCATTGAACAGTTAATACACATGTTGCCCTATGTAAACAAGCTTTCTAAAGATCACTTTAAAATTGCAATATAGTGTTGGGTTTATTTTGGTTTTTTTTTTTTTAAAGATTTAATAATAGTACCATAGTTTTTTTTTGTTTTTTAAAGAATCTTGGTCTTTTAGAAAAGCACTGAAACATTTATGGATAACATAATATTTGAGATTTCTTTCAAAATAATATGGGAGGAGTAAGTGAGTAGAGCTTGACATGAAACGAGTGGCCGTGAGCTCATAATTGTTGAAGCTTGAGTGATTACCTGAAAGTTCACTGTACTGTCCACACTCATACGTTTGAAATTTTCTATAATAATGTTTAAAGCAATACAGTAAGTGGTTATTATAAAGGTCGTTAATATCTGTAGGGGGGAAAAAAACCTGTTTTAAGGTTATACAAAAATGTAATTATGCTTAGGTTAAAATTACCAGTCATTGCATCACATACTGATTAAAAAGTATTTTCTCTGCAGCAACGTGAATGAATCTCCAGAACTGCCAAATGTAGACACAAGTACGTGCTCTATGATTCCATTTATATGAAATTTTAGAATAGGCAAAACTACTCTGGTGACAGAAAGTAGATTAATAGTTGCTGAAGGGACATGAGGAAACTTTTTGGGGTGATGGAAATGTTCTGTAGCATTAGGTGGAGGTGTACATTTGTCAAAACCCATCAAACTTCACACTTAAAATCAGTGTATTATATGTAAAAATTATCCCCCATTAAAGTTGATTTATCAAATGTGCTGTCTCAAAAGGCAGTGAAGGTGATGTGTTTTGAGAAATTATATTAGCTGATTCAAAACATGGCTTTAATGGCAACAAATGCATAGAAATCAAAGATTCATGTAGACTTTGAGTACAATAATTACTGGAAATATGAGTGAGAGTGGGAAAAGAACATTTCTAAATATATATTGTTTTAAATAATTTGTGATCTAAAATGTGTGTGTGTAACTAGATAAATTGTTATATGTGGACATGCAAATGCATCTCTAAAAATGTTTATGTATTAGTTGCAAAAAAAAAAAGAAAACTGGGGTGATATTATTGCAAAAAAGAAGGGTCACCTTATATTTGGAGCCACCATGTCTTCAGGCGGAGCGCTGGTGGGGCAGTGGTTAAGAGCTTGGCTGCTAACCAAAAGGTTGGCAGTTCAGATCCACCAGCTGCTCCTTGGAAACCATATGGAGCAGTACTACTCTGTCCTATAGGATCGCTGTGAATTGGAATCAACTTCACAGCAACAGGTTTGATTTTTTTATCTTCAGCCATAAACAGTATCTCTCACTTTCTCTATCCTCACAACCACCAACTGGTCTAGATAAGGTCAGGTGTCCCTTCTTAGTGCCTCAGGGGCCCTTATTACATTGAATTGTCATGGTCTCTTGACATTTCTGTATCTGCTTCTGGATTGGAAGTTTGAGAACTGATTGATGTCTGCCGTCTTAGTGCTATAGAGGAGGCTTCAGGAATGTTTATTGGAAGAAAGGAGAGAGGACATAGAACAGGTCTGCCCTGGTCTTGGCCAGTAGCTAGCAAGGACTTTTCAGTGCCATACTGCTGA